CTGTAGCTGTGCGCGAGCCCCAGCTGCGCGCGCTTCAGGTCCGGCTCCTTGAGGTCCCCTATGAACCGCGTGAAGTGCAGCCTGCAGCCGCGCAGGACCTCCCCCACGAGCTCGTTGCAGACGCAGGGCACGCCGGTGGCCTCCTGGATGGCGCTGCCCAGCTTGGCCTCAAAGACGCCCAGCTGGAACTTCTTGGGCTTCTTGCCCTCCTTGGCCTGCGGGGGGCGGGGCGGGTGGTGGGTCTGGGTTTGGGGAGTGGTGGCACGGGGTATGGGGAGGAGGCCGTGGGCCGCGAGGGCGGCGGAGGGGATGGAGACGCTCATGGCAGCCAAGCTGCTGCCGACGGAGGCAGGGGAGCCGCCCGGCAAGGGGTTCGACGACGCCTCTCGCCAGGGCGCCGCCTCTCGCGAGCGTGCTGCCGCCGCCGCCGGCGGCGCGGGGTCCGGGGCCGCGTCGCTCGCGCCGCGGGGCGCGCGACCTCGGGCGGCCGGCCCGGCGCGCGCGGGCACCCACCTTTGGCAGGTTGAGGGCGAGGAAGTTCTTGAGGTCGTCCGTGAGCTGCGCCTCGCTGATGGCGTTGATCTGCTCCAGGGCGTTGGCCGCCGAGGAGAACGGCTTGAAGGCCGTCAGCTTGACGACCTTGCCAAAGCGCTCCAGGTTGCTGCAGGGTGCGGCCGCGGGCGCGCGATTCGCCGCGCGTTTGACGATCAGAGATGAATCGCGACGCTGCTTGCGGGGTCCTCGCTGGACAATGGGCTGCGAAATCGGCATCTCTGCACCGAGCACGCAGCACGGCGCGAGCGGCTGCTGCGGCGGCCGCCGCCGGCGACACATCAAGCGAACGCGACCCCAGCGCGGTGGTCAGCCGCTCACTTGACGGACTCCTGGACCTTCTCAGCAGAGTTTCCAATCTCATCCAAGTCTTTTGCCTCAAAAAGGGCGAAGCCCGATGCCGACTCGAACAGAACGAAGAGTGCCTGCACGCGCAAGGCCCCAAGATGGATATCCATGGTTGTAGACCCCAAGACGCCGCAGCAAACACACTGGCTGATCCCCAGGCCGCGCCCTCACCATCTCGGCGGCCTTCTCTATGTCTCAGCCCTGCGGGGTGTCTATCGAAATCACAGCTTTGCCTGGATCACAACTATTATGCTCTCACAAGACTGACGGCGCGCCGAGTGAGTAAGTGATCTGCTCAAGCAGGCAGCGGACAAGCAAAGTAGTGTGATGTGACATACAACCGATTCGAACGCACAGCTTCGAAGGCGTGCTGAGGGTCAGGAGTCAGGACGGTTTCGAGAAGTGGCAAAGCCCGTCTGGGTGCCAGCAGCAGTGTGTGTTGATGGAGATTGACACCCGCTGCACAAGGCTCTCATGCCGCATGATCTCATTTATAATAGATTAAATTTCATTTGCTTGAGTCGGTTGGTGGACCCGGTCCTTTCTAGTCGGCTCCCACAGCCAACTGCTGTCGTTTAGGCCCCCCGTAGGCGTTGGTTGGGCCGAAGGGATAAAGATGGGCCTCTTTGATTGCCTGGCCCCCCAGGCAGACGCTGGCGCAGCTGCGACCGCCGCGGCCGAGGCCGCTCAGCTCAGGGCAGCAGCACAGGAGGCGCGGGCGGCGCTGCTCGCCGAACAGGAGCGCGCGCGTGTGCTGCAGGATGAGAAGCAGCAGCTGAGCGACAAGCTGGAGCAGGTGGAGCACAAGCTGCGCGAGGCTGAGCAGGCGGCGGCCAGCCCGGTGACGCCCGCGCCCGAGCCCGCCGCCGTGCAGGCAGCTGCAGCCGCCGCCGCCGCCCCGCGCAGCGGCAGCCCCTCGGCGCTGAGGGCGCGCGCGAGCTCGCCCACGCGGATCCCCACGGGCCAGGTCACCGACGCCTTGCGCACCGCGCTGGAGAAGGTGAGCAGCCACACACGCACGCCGGGGCCTCGGCGCCGACCGCTGCCACCGCCGGCGCGCCGGCGACGCCTCCGCACACCGACCTCGGCCCCGCGTGCCGGGCGCCCTCCGCCGGGCCGCGCGCCCGCCCGAACGCCACCCGTGCCAACCAAGCCCCCTGCCGCCGCGGCAGACGCCGCCGCCACCACCACCACCACGTCGCCGCCGCCACCTTGCCACCCCTTCCCCCCTGCCACCTTGACCACAACAGGACAACGAGTTGCTGCGCGGCCAGGTGCTGTCGCTGCAGACGCAGCTGGAGGAGACGATCGCCGCGCAGGTCGCGGAGCTGGAGGCGCTGCAGCGCGGCAGCGCCGCTGCCGCGCAGGAGGAGAAAGCGCGCCTCGAGCGCGAGCTGGCCGCGGCGCTCGAAGGCAAGGCCGCGGCGCTCGCGGACGCCGAGGCCGCGCACGCCGCACTGCAGGCGCGGCTGGAGGAGACGGAGGCCGCAGCCGCGGCGGCCGGCACGGAGGCGGCCGCCGCGGCGGAGCGCTTGGCGGCGGCGGAGCGGGATGCGGCCGACGCGCGGGGGCGGGCGGAGGCGGACGCCGCGGCGGCGGAGGAGGCGAGGGCCGCGGCGGCCGCGGCGGCCGAGGAG